TTTTTTTTTTTCTTATTATATATGCAGATGGTCTTTAATAGCTGGACGAATTCCGGGCCGTACGGACAATGAGATAAAGAACTATTGGAACACTCATCTGAGCAAGAAATTGGTGAGCCGAGGGATCGACCCCAAAACTCACAAGCCTCTACTGAGTAACAAACAAAATGACAGCCAGTTATTGAAAGAAAATGGGATTAGCGTTGAACACGGAGATACTGGATTAATCATGAGTAGCGACGATTGTGAATCGAGTCATCATAAAAATGGCATATTGAAGCTGGAAAAGAATTCGACAAGTGTTGATGAAGGGAAATTAGTAATGAATGTTAATGATGAAGATGGAGCTGATTGTGATGATGGCATGATAAATAATTGTTGCCCGGATGACGCATTTTCGTCCTTCTTGAATTCGCTCATTAACGATGAGATGTTCATTAATATTCAGCATCATGATGATCAGCAAAGCAGCTGCCTCATTTGAATATGTATAATTTACTACTTATTTCATGAGTTCTTAGATATATGCAGGTGTTTTGGGATCAATGCCGGTTCTGTTTTGTGTACTACGGATATGTTGCTATTCTTTTCATGAGCCCACATTTATGCGTCACAATATTGAAAATATCAAGTGTAATATTATTTTCTCGGCATCGATCCAATGATTTTTCATCATCTTTCCTACGAGTAACAACAATTAATATCATTCATCAAAAAACAATTAAGATATCTGTGCATTTGACGCCATATAACTGTAACAAAAATTAGGTTTGTTGTTCTGTTTTTCATAAATGGAAGATTTATCAAAATTATTCCAGGGTGAATGAGAAATTAGTTATATGTTGGATTTGTGCAAAATATGAGTTTTTGTAGCTCAAAATTGAGTTTACATACCTCAAAAGTTTGTAAGAAGCAACTTGTTTTAACCACCGGGGAGCCTGTCGCAGGCACGACGAGTCTACGACATGGACGATGCACCCTATTGGTGCCAAAAGGCTGTTGACCTGATTTGAATAACTTCTTTCCGCACGGACCATATCCGAAAGGTGTCTTTAAACAAATAAACACTCAAAAATGTTTCTACACATCTATAAATACTCAATGAATGCCATATCATTCTTTGTGTTCATCTCATTCTTGAGAGTTCCAAAACAATAACATTGTTCACCGTAAGTGGTACGGGAAATTTGACTTGACTTGCTCTTCATGCCTTCGACTGAGACCTATCTGCTTCATTCCCAAGTTTCACTTCACTTGGACACTGCCAAAGAGGACCAAAGGGAAGAAGGTGGTCGTAGATCAGCTGCTTTTGCTTTCAAGTCCAGTTGATCCAGTTCCACATCCAACGAGGAAACAAACCTAGGAACTCTACCCGCTTCACCAGAAAAATGAAATGGCAACTAGAAGTTTTAGTAATTTCGTACTTCTGTCGTTGGAGAGCAGAAATGGCACTTTACAGCAAGAAGAAAGAACAACGAAAGTCGAAGATAGGCTTGTAGCCTCACCAGAATCAGATTATTCTCCCTGAGTTACGAATCCCAACCCGCTTCACCAGAAAAATGAAATGGCAACTAGAAGTTTTAGTAATTTCGTACTTCAGTCGTTGGAGAGCAGAAATGTCACTTTACAGCAAGAAGAAAGAACAACGAAAGTCGAAGATAGGCTTGTAGCCTCACCGGAATCAGATTATTCTCCCTGAGTTACGAATCCCAATTAAAGTCAAATCCCTTTCTCTGTCTTAATGGTATAGCTCGAGTCTGTGCATAACTGCATGGATAAGCTCACACTAACCCGTCAATTTGGGATCCAATTCAATAGTTTCCTTGGGAGGTATCCGGAAGAAAATGAAATGGAATAAGATCGATTTATAAACAAAAGCTTCTTAAACAAGTCTCTCTTTTGAGTTTTGGGTAGGGGGTTAAATGAAGAGGCCGAAATAAGATTTTGGATTTTGCTTTGGCTTTGTTTTTCGAAAAAGTACTTTGTTTAGGGCAATAAACAAAGCGAAGTTCAGTCATAGACAAAGGATTAAGGGTCGATAACATATGTCAACTATAAAGAAGAGGTTCAAAGAAATGTTTTCAAAGGTTAAAGACCGACCCCTATCCTGTTACAGAGCTTCCTACTTGTATCATCAAACCACCACCCATTAATACAACACCAACATTATTTGATTCCAAGCCTTTCCTCCTTTGAACCTCGCCCTTTTTGCCCTTACTTATACTTAACTATCATGTATTTGCTTGCCGCTATACACAAGTAGAAGTTGTTGTATCTTGGAGGCATTAGTAGTAAAACATTGATAATTTATAAGGATAATTTTCTTAAATCTCAACTTTGTTTATTTCATTTATTAATTACAAAGTTGACCCATAAACTAAACTGCAATATATTAAAATTTTCTAAAATTGTAACCTAGGACTTATCAAACTTTCAATAAAAGTCCCCCATTCTAAAAGTTAATTTTTTTTTTTTGTCTCTGCCATGCCTTTCTGCCGTTGTCGGCCAAGGACCTCCTCTTCCAAGGCTGCCACCCCTATCCTGTCATTTGTGAAGACTCGAGTCGCAGCTTCTTTCATATTTATTTTTTAGTTAGCCATTAATTGTCTTGAGGTAGAGCTTCACCGTTCAGATGATGTAAATGTGGGAGTCGAAGATGATGACATCCTTGGCGGTGCAGATGGCGCCAGCGACGCCGTCTGGATGGTGGAGAAGCAAGGTCGGGGTAAAAGGTGGCGACACAGGTGCACCGGACCACCTCGTGGTGGGCGTGGACAGTGGCGCCGGAGTTAACTGCGCTGACGTAGGTGGTGTCTGATAGAGATGCGATGATGAGTTTTTTTACATTTAACTGTTTTTCCATGGTTTTTTCTATTTGCTAATCGTTGGAGACGAGGGAGAGGAGATAAAGATAGTGGGACAGGTTGGGTGGTTGTGGTGGTGCTGACATGATGTAAGAGATAGTAGGTGGGTGATGGGGCCCACGTGACGTAGATGGGAGATAAAATGTTAAATGTACCATTATACTAGTGTAAAATCTTTGTTTCCTTTTAGGCGATGGATTATGAGATCTTATGGCTAAGATGTATTCTTATTTTTTAAACTAAGAACCATTCTCACAGTATCCGATCCATATATGTATATATACACACAGACACACACATAGAGATGAGTTCCGGTGAAGATAGTGCTCAGTGAAAGCTTCTAGTTATATTACTGATGCTGGAGGAGAAATAAGAATAAATCTTGGCCATAAAATCTGATGATCCAACGGTAAATAAAAATACAAAAAAAAAAAAAAAAACAAAAAAGTCGCCAACATTTTTACATTTATTAAGTAATGTAGACATTTCCCCAACCACCCACCATTTACTCACATCAATGGGCCCCGCCCCCACCTCCACCAAGCCATCCCATCTCAGTTGTCTCCTCATCTCTCTCTCTCTCTCACACACACACACACACACACACACATATTCATACACATACACACGCACACACAACTTGCCCCTCTTCTCCACCTTCACATGGCACCGTAAAGAGAGCCGCCCAAGGCCATCAAAAGCAGCAGTCGATCCGTTCCTCGCCCTATAGTTCTCCTCATCTACTAGTCGTTGCTACTTGAAACCATCTCGACAACGCTGGCACATCACCGGCTTGCACGTTTCACGGTCTCGACGATTACCTATGCTGGCGGTTGTCTCGACGATTACCTGTGCAGACGGTGGTCTTTCCCTTGAAAACTAAGGACAAGATCAACGACGAAGTTTCACAAAAATAGCAGAAAATCGACAAGAAAAATGAGGATGGCTAGACTCGCTTAGTGGTAGTGTGGTTGGGCTGGTGGCCAATGGGATTTGATGACACAAGGTGGTGGTTATGGGGGCGACAATTGGTGGGACGCTAGCTAGGCTGGCAGTGATGTGCCGGTAATTGTTGGAGCGGTGGTTGTGGCTTGTAGATACGCAGTGGCTGGTGGTGGTGTGGTGGGCGGAGGGATGGCGGGTGTGGTGGTGGTAGATGGAGAAACCCTAATTTGGAAATATGGGTGTTTTATTAAAAATTAGATAAGTTATAAGAACTTATTTGCAAATTGAAGAACTTTAACTTAAATGTAATTCAATTCATGGGACAAAATTGTAATTTATAAAAAAAATCTAATAAATGCACAATATTGTGTACGGATATGCACACTAAACATACTCGTACTGCAAAATGCACAATAGTGTTAGACTAAATGTACACTAATATATCCAATAATACATATTAGCGTAAAATCAAACAATGATTGAAACCGATTAGAATACTTTTTTTAGGTTAAGGATTTAATATGTTAGATCGGTTATTGTTTTTAATTTTTAAATTTTGATTATTTTGGCATGAATGCGACTTTATTTTTAAAATAATCGAAACAACCACACAACATAAAATATATTTTTATATTATATAAATAAATTATTTCTTTTCAGCCAAATAGAAAGTATCAAATAAAAATATTTTAAATACAATATAATTTCATGATACAAAATGATATTATATTTCAGTTATATTTGTTAATTCAGTTAACCAACAGACTATACATATTATTTCGGTTCGATTTTATTTTGATTTGGGACAAAAGTTTGGTCGGTTCGTTTTCCAAAAGTTTGACTCGATTATTTCGATCGGTCAGTTTAGTCAATGAACAACCCTAAGAACATTGCCAATTTGGTTAAATTTTGAAGTTTTAAATGTGTAAGCGGTCGGAGGGAAAAAAAATTTACGTGGTTTTTTTAATGTGCATTTCCTTACGCAATATTGTGCATCTTATGTATCATTATTGTGCATATAGTGATCTTTGATTCTATTATTGATTTTTCTCAAGTACTAAAGTGTAAATATATTAAAAGTCAAAAAATTGCATATGAGTCCCCGAACCTGCCTAATTTTCAATAAACTCTCGCCCCCCCGACAATAGAGAAAATCCGTCCTCCCTTCACAGATGATTCAGCACCAGCTCTTCATTGTCGATATGACGGCTATCGCTGTGAAGGCTAGCTTGGCGATCGACCAGATCAACATTACAAATCATCGATTGTCTGGCGATGCCTGGTACTCCGACGAGTATAGTGACTGAGTCGATCTGCTGGCGGCATCTCTCCTAAGCTAATTCTCCAGCTATTCCTCGGCGGAGGTCCTGGACTCTCCCGCGGCTATCTCGACAGTGTCCAAATTAGAGGATGATTTTGCGGCCCCAAAGTGGTGATGCATAGTCGGCGCGATCCGCCGAGCGGTAGTGCGTTAAAGCGAAAATTGTGCGCGTCAAGGGGGCCAACAATGACGACGTTCATCGTGGCGAATATGGAGAATTTTGGTCTAATGGTGCTGCAAATGACTGGCTGAAGCTTGGTTTGGGCGGGGAGACAAATTTGGCTTGCCGACGCTCGACACGTCAGCTTTTCCATTGGAGTCTCCTTGTCGCAGTCGTCTCTGGTGGCAACAGGT